CTGTATGTACCCCATAAAGAACTAATGCACTTTGAGAACAATTTTCATTTGTTTGTCAAAGGTAATCCTGGAATGGATTGTGCTGCTGTGTTGCACATTTATTATCTCAATTGTGAGAAACAAAACTAAAAAAATTGTATCTACTTTTTCACTTGCGTTTTCAATGCCTAATGCTACTTGTGATGTTAGTTAGTTTGGATAGTTTCATTGCACATGGTAAATTTTGTCCTGATTGGCTAGAATTACCAGTTTGGCTTTAAAACATTCAGTTGAGGAGCACTTTGATGCCATACCTCAATCACTGACTTTGGTGCTTCCTCTGTCATGTAATGGATTGCATCCTGATCCCCAAGCCAATCACTCCCTTTCACCGTGTCATACCTACAGGCAAAACCCCAAAAAAATCAGTAGCATGAGTAACAGTTGACTAATTTGAATATATCAACAAAGTTGAAATGGTAAGTGACGTTTCGAGCATTAGCCCTTCCTCGAATTGCTCCGACGAAGGGCTAACGCTCGAAATGTCAGTTTTTATAATCATAACAGTGGCCAATTTACCATTTCAACTTTGTTGATATATTCAAACTATTTCGTTACCCCCATCGACGCAGCCCCAAACAGTTTCTTTAGAAACTACCAGCCTTTAACAGTTGAATATATTGGTTTGACCAGAACTGCATAACACTGCTTGTGCTGCAGGTCCACAGAATTGGAGGTGTGAAATTAATGTCACCATTATTGCAAAAAGTGCCCATTTTGAAACAGTAAAACCACTTAGTGTTTTCTCAGCAGACAGATACATGATGGTACAAACTGCCCTACATTGGGAAACTGGAAGAGATTACCTAAATGAGGAGAGCATGTTCGTCAAAACAGTGAAGATAGCAATGGTGACATTCCTGTTCACAAAAAGATGTAAACTCACATATGCCAACGCCAGTCATCAGGTTCCATGTTTCCAAGGGCAGCATTGATTCCTCCCTAAAATAATAAAATAAAAAAAAACAATCCTTTAGGCACATCCTGTGTGTATGACATTTAATTTGATTAGACACTTTGGGAAAGAAAACAGTCTCTGAGTCACTAAAAATTCAAATACAAGGATTTGTTAATGGAACCCTTAACTCCCTAACTCTCATGGGTAATTCTCCTTACCATCTGCCATACAATTTTTATGATGTGAGTTTAGAGAATTCAGCATTGGATATACTTATAATCCCCTTCTTTATATTTTTTGCTTCTCATCACTTGTCTGCTTGACACTGTATAGGTATTGTAAGGAGAAATTCTGTCTTGGTCAGTCATGGGAGTTACAGGGTTTAAGCAATTGAATGCCCTTTACACTGGTTAACTAGAACAACAACCTTTTATAAATCTGCAAGAGATACACGGGGAAAGGTTGATAATTACAGGCCTTAGCCAGAGATTTACAAGATTTTTCTTACGTTTTCAAATATCCTCTGAAGGTTTTCACAACTGCCACCAAAAAGTGATGTCTATTGTTTTAATAACTACTGCAAGCTTAAAACACTATTACTAATAGTGCACAGGATGTAAATGACAAACCCTGCATAGGCTCTGAAAACCTTGAAGGTTATATTCATAAACAGTTTTAAAAATACAGCAAATGCACTAACCTGTGCTGCAACAGTATGTGACCTTGTTGGGAAAAGCTTGGTGATACAAGCAGTTTTAAATCCTTCATGTGCAAGACCAAAGGCTGCACGTAAACCAGCACCACCGGCACCAACAACTACAGCGTCATAGTTGTGGTCCACAACAGGATATTCCCGTGACAACTACCAGTAAATAAGAATGCCAGTTGTTAATTTGAGTACACAAGTAGACTTGGATATTCAATATATCATTTTGTCACTAAGATTAGAATGCAACCGTGAAACCCTCCTAAGTTATCTCTTTAACTTCCCCGATATGATTTGTAATTCTCACTTCTGTTGCAATAATTCCTTTGAATAAGTTGGGAGAATTTGATGTTCTATCAAGACACCTCCCTCTAATTGACATCTTTCTCTATTTCATGTATGTTAAGTGTTTGGAGAACTTCATTCCATTCCATGTTTTCAATTGAGGTGAAAAATGGAAGAGACTTGAAGGAGACTTGTATGCAGCTAAAACGTGGCCATAGATATCAAAACATTGTAAGACAAACGATTAACCGCCTGATTAACGGTTACCAACCGCCTCCCATTTAGCTCAATTGGTTAGTGTGCCGGATTGTTGTGCAGGAGGTTGAGGGTTCTGACCCTGGCTGGACTAATACTCATGGTCTTAAAATTACTGAGGAGAATTTACTACCTTTCTATAATATCAAGAAATGGATAGATATTCTAGTCTTCTTGGATAAGGAAGAATAGACCGTAGACCCCATCTCCTGCAGTATTAGGAGTAGGAGACATGAATTTCCCTCGCACGAGATTAACTACTGTGTGGTGGATGTCCTCCCCTGGGATGGGATGGGCGGGAAGGTAAGATCGTTACATGGGCTGAAGCGGCTGCCAGAGGTGCCTGATAATGCTGACGTCCGATCTCAACCTTATCATTGTAACCAGACACGTTTGTTGTTTAGAGTGCTTAAGACTTTCTGTCTTCTTTCTTAATAAGTTATAATTGTACGAACAATTACTTTCTTGACAGCTCTAAAACTAAATGTTCAACATAGTAGCCACTATAATGGAAACGCGATTTTTTTTCCATTTACGAAAACGAAATTAAACGCCAACAACAAAGCGTGACCGCTAGCCCAAACTGTTGTCACGCAATTCTCAAAGCAAAAGTGAACGTTTTTGTGGCCAAAATACGGTCAAAAAGGAGAAATAACAATAAATTTAATCAAATTTGAATATCGTTTAAAACAAAATAAAATTCCTCCCACACCAACTCGAGCGAATGTTTTGCGCCGTTACATCGTGTCAAGTCGCACGAAAACGTAATCGACATTGTAAATATCATGTACTATTACATAACGAAATTATACAAGACTGCCTTTGCCTTCGTCATCGCTCAATAAATTCTTTAGTTTACGAGATACTTCAAGGAAAAAAAGAGTTTATTTCAAACCTGTCCCTTGGCTGTACCATCTTGTGAGCGTCTACCTTCGATTTTAAAATGAAAAGCCCTACAACCGGACGATCGTAAGGCACTTCTCGCCAACCCGGTTGACTGAAAAGAAATGGACACAGAAGCTGAAAAAGTGAACTAAGCGACATCAGCAAACTTTGAATAGTTTATTACCTTTATAGAAGAAAGAAGAGACCTGCTCTTCAGTCCTGAGAACATGGCTTCTTGATGTTTTAGGACACAAAAGAACAGGACAACACTGTCAAGTTTCTAGCCAACTCGATTCTTGATTTTTCTGTTAGATCCTACAGTGCATGCTGTCGCGAAGAAGTCCGCTGACCCATCTTTAGCTCTCAAGACCCGAGAGTAAGCCCGAGGGACTCTCCTTTCTCGCTCTCTGAGCACCATCCTGGCCTTGTGCGGTCCTCTGTCTGTTCAAAAGAAAGAAACGACAGTTGAGACGACAGAAGATGAACGATTAAGGATTTTCTTTCAAGTTCACATAGAAAAAAGTAGATCGTCAGTAAATTGAGAATCCTACAACACTGACATAGTGCCATACACACCTTTGCAAAACTCAGTCGCGTAAAAATATTTGGCCTTTTTACGCATCACGAATAATATCTAATTCAAAACTCTTTCATGTCCATCCGAAATTCGAGGCAATCTCGTTGAATTATTATCTTCACTTTTCCTAGTCTTGAAAAGTCTTACGCGACAAAAAATGATGTTATGTTTTATTTTTGTCGTTTAAGAATTATTACTGGTCTGTTTTATGATCGATCCATTTCAGTCCACCTTCTATCAAAAAATGTACATTTCCAAAACCATGAAATAGCCGGGAAATCATCACGCAAGACGAAATAGTTCACGAATCATGTTTAATTCAGCTCTTGGTTCACGAGTCACGTTTAAATGGCGTCACGTCAAAAAATTTGTTCACATGGACACGAAATTGGTATTACCAATCACGAATCACGAATAATAAAAAAGTCAAATCACGATTCAATCACGCCTTACGTAAAAAGTATAGGGGACCCTCCTAGCAAACAAAGAACAATGGGATAATTCTGAGAATATCTTATTCCTGATGATGGTCTTTCCGGGAATTTATTAAAATTCATGACCTTTCTAGCTCTATAAACATCACTGTTAGAAAGCAGATGGCAATGATTTTCTTTAAACGTTGCTTTTATCTTTTCGTGATCATTCTACCGCAAAATCAGCATTTCAAATCACTAGCGTCAGTGACAATGAAATTCCATGACAATGGAAATGACAATGAAATTCCACAAGCGACGCGAAATCTGCATACTGGGAATCTTTGAAAGCTGCATACTCGGTAATCGCGTGACAACATTATTCTAAAAGCAGTTCACCGAGGCGGTTAACTTATAGACGTTTTCGATTAGCGAAACGCCGTTAAACATAATAATACGGAATCACAGCTACTGTGAGTATAAAATTCTAACATTCATCGCGTCATCTTTGGGTCAATTAATTATTCTCCCACATAAATCTAATGCTTTGTGGAGCCTCATGTCACTTAAGTGTCAATACTGAAGCCAAAGATGGCGTCACAAGAACCGATTCCTCAAGCAGCTTCAACGACTCCGGGAGAGATTTCTCCCCATTTTGACAAACTACTCCGAGATGTTACAGATGCGCTAACCGCTGAAGAACTCAAAGATGCTGTTGCAACCATAAAGAACACCTTTGAGGTAAATTCTCAGGATCAAACAGATCACGATTTATATTCACATCTTCGATTGTTCGCAACTCGAGATATTTTGTCTGAGGAAAATCTAACGTTGCTGGAGAGATTTGTTGCTTGTAAATCATCAAAGAGGAAGGGTATCACAAAGAGAATCGATGCATTTAAGCAAAGCCGTCTCCATAGCGCTACACCAAAGGTATCAGGGCAACCAATTAAAGGGAGAGACCTCGATTTGAATGTAATCATGGCCAAACTAACCGGAGCCAGAGCGAAAGAAATCGTTAATTTGTATGGCCCCGGTGGTGTAGGAAAGACAACATTGGGAAAAGAGATTTGTCTTAGGTGGCCAGGACAGTCAATCTCTGTCGACATGAGGGAGGTTGCGGAGATGAAAGACGTTTACTTTCACATTATGATGGCACTGGATACAAAAAGGACAGTTTTAAGTTACGATGAAAATCCAGTTATTAATCAGCTTCGGAAACTGAGGATGGACAGTCCAAGTGACGTTCTCTTACTCCTGGACAATGTGGACAAGTTTTCTGGCGGAAATGGCGATCTTGTGAAGACCTTGAATGATAAGATGGTTAAGCTACTACAAAGGCTCGTCGAACAGAAGAATAAGAACGAGAAGGACGAGGAGGGAATTGCCAGCTTGAAGATAATTTTGATATCCAGAGCACCTTTCCAAGGGCTTAACCCCCGCGAAAGCGATTGCTATGAAGTGAAGGCTTTGGGAAGAGAGTTCTCGCAAGAGGTGATTCTTGAAAAGGCCGGAGAATTACCTGTCTTAGAGATTGGAAAAATTGTGGACATGTGTAAAGGGTATCCACTTCTTCTAAATGGCATGGCGGCCATTATTCGGCAAAAGATAGCAGCTGGTGAGAAGGTTCTAACAACGATTAAAGATGAACTGACGACGTTAGAGACTGAAGGTGAAACTGCCCTCTCACCAGTACAGGACCAGCAGGAAAGAGAAGCATGGCAATGTCTTAGTAAGGAGATTGGTGAAGATAAACTATCTTGTTTGAGAAAGATGTTTTTTTTACTCCCAACCAACAATCTGAAATTCTCTGCCCTAGCATTATCCCTGTTTTGCCATCCATTCTCTGAGGAAACCGCTGCTTCTGTCCTCGGTGTAGAGTCATCAGAAGCAATCATTGTCTTAGAAGGTTTGAGAAGTAGAGAGGTGTTGTCAGTGTATCCTGATGCTAAAGAGCTCCTCTATGATATCCATCCCTTGATGCGAAGCTTCCTGAGAAGTATTGGAAATAGTTCAGTGTTTAGAAAGGTCTTCGGCAAAGCAAAAGATAGATTTCGCGAGCTTTACTTCTCAAAAATGACCTCCATCTCGGCACTGTTGGACAAAAACTACTTGAGTGCATTCGACCATTTTGACCATGACAAGCCTAACTTTGAGTTTGCTTTAGAACTTCCCTTTAAAGCGGAAGATTTGCATCGTTTGAAAGAACATCATGAAAGGGCCATGATCTACTTTCTTTTTGAAGCAATGCTTGACAGCAAACAGAGGAGAAATATTTTCAAATCGTGGGCAGAAGCAACTGAAGAGGACGGAAGGGAAGGTGGGAACATGTTTCTTTTTTCTTTAATTGATATCTGCTTCCATTTTTTGCCTCATATTCTGGTAATTTTCTTGTACTTGACAAAAAGGATAGCTTTTGAAAACAAAAACAATTCAGTGAGAAAACAATTACTTCTCGATTATCCAGAACTAGAGAGTCTTGATGTGGGCGTGGACGTTCCTAGATGTATGTCATGAGAGATCATTGGAGTTATTTCTTCCTGCAAACCCTCTATCCCCCCCCTTCCCGCTATATTTTGGTTGTTAGTTTGATTGCAACTTTGCTTTGTTTACGATGTCACAAGGAAAGAATTAGTGACTATTTATTGTAGAGAAATTTATCTTTACAAGAGGCTGATTTATACTAATTGCATTTTCTAGGATCCCTCTTTCGCGTGGAAATGAGATCCAATGAGGCAATGCAAGTTCTGGAAATCCATGGATGGAAGAGGGCAGCTGACATCCTGAAACTTGCAGATGAGTCCTTTCTGAAAGTCGATAAGAGAATGGAGAACGGCACTCCTTACAGATTTGCTTCTGCCTCTTACCTATACGTCGCAGGCGAGATTTTCTACAAAAAGGGAAGTGTACAGGAAGCACTCCGAAATTTTCATTCCTCACTTGATTTGATGGAAGAACTCGTCGGAAATCATACAAGTACCACGAAATGTTTAAATGCGATTGGAAACTGCCACAATGCGCTTAGTAACTTTAAAGATGCGATGAACTTTTACACAAGAGCTTTTGAAATGCGAAAAGTTCTTTCAGATTCAAAGAACCATTTGGATTTGTCATTTTTCAAGGGTCAGATAGGTACGGTTTACGAAATGCAAAAAGAATATGGAAAGGCCATTCTGTGTTATCAAGAAGCTCTGGAGCTTTCTAAGCAACTGAAACGCTCAGGAATCTTACGCTTGGCACTCTTTCACAGAAACATCGCCAACGCTCACGCATGGAAAAGAGAATACGAGAAAGCGTACAAGTCCGCAATGGATGCATATGAGATTAGAAAAGACATATTAGGTGACCATCCTGACACGGCAAGGAGTGCATTTCAGGTGGGAGAAATTTGCAGAAGTTTAGATCAATCGGAAGAAGCTGAAGAATTCTTAGACGAGGCATGGAGAATTGAGAAATCCTTGGAGATGGGCAACCACAGCGCAGTGAGAGATCGGATAGTACAAAGCTACGAAAACGTCCTTACTAGCGACAGGCAAAATGAGTTCCGGCAAGAGGCCTTAGAATTTTATGTAAGGCTGTGGCAAGAAGATAAAGAATTTACCTACGCCAAGAAGAGTATCATCGATCAGATCATCGAGCGGCTTGATAGATACGGAGACAGAAAAATGAAGAGCAAATACCGGAAGGAGGCTCTGGAGTTTTATGTAATGGCCTGGAATTCGCCAGATCTTCAACAACTCCCACGAATCCAGCGTGAAGAAATCTTGCAGATTATATTGTACTTAAGTAAACTGCTCCGTGAGAAAGAACTGCACAAGAAATTCCAAGGCGAGCAATTTCGATTCTATGAAAAGCAATGGGAAGAGGGAACTGTCATGACGGCTCAAGATGTAAAAGATATTCTTCGTACTCTTCAACGCTTAGCTACCCAACTGGGTGACGTAGGAAAGAGCGAGAAATACAAGAAACTCCATGAGGTAAGAAATGGCGATTATTATATGTTTAGCTAGCGAACAGAGATGCATGTAAGCCATTTTCCAACAAGTGTCCTTTTAAGATATCAAAGCTAATTACGCGCGCACCGTGTTTTAAACACGGCAGCTCTCAGTCTTAACCAAGTGACTCTCTTATGAGACGGGAATGGTAAATAGCATCGAGTGATCTGGGGAATTGCGTGCATGCCTCCTCAATTTATGTATGGTTTTATATATGGTGTGCTCCTCATTATTAGTGGCTTAATGTTCCCACGTTCACATCTGGTCTTACTGCAGACCAGAAAACAGACTGAATATAGTGCATTAGATAACACCCCGGTCTGTAGTGCTTTAGCTATCACCCCAGTGTGTAGTGCACTAGATATCACCCCTGTCTGTAGTGCATTAGATATCACCCCGGTCTGTAGTGTATTAGATATCACCCCGGTCTGTATGTCAAATGCCTTTACTGACGGATGTGAGCCTAATAGAATGTTTTACCTCTATCAAATCTATCAGTGTTGACAAGATTCATTTATTAACTCATTACTGCAGGAATACAGGAGAGGGGCAAGTTCACAGCAGTTTATGCAGATTGTTCCAGCCGCAGGTACATGGCTTGGAACATAATCTTCCACAGGATTAGTTGGTGAAAACGATTTAGTTGAGTGTATTTGGGGGGGGAAGACAGCAAATAAACATTAATTGTAACTTACATTTGACTTCAAGGATCATTGGCGGAGCCAAGTAGCAGCTCAAGTGGTGGTGACCAACCTGGTATAGTTCCCGAAAAGTCTCTTAAAGAAAAAAAGCATTCAATTCGGATAGAAAACACAACTTCTGTGTCTCAGGAAAAGAGTGAGAACATGTGAGTACAATCCTAGCTCTTCCTCTCTAAAGGCTATCGGACGTCCGTTGCATTAAGCTTTCTTCAAAAACCAAATGTATCTGCAGGGACGAATAAATGGAGGTCCCGTCTCCAACAGGGTTAGGAGTAGGAGACGTTAATTTCCCACGCACGAGATTACTGCGTGATGCATGTCCTCCCCCGGGGTGGGATGGGTGGGATTTAACGGGTGGACTACTCGCATGGATCGTATATGTTCTGTTCTAGTCCTGCCCCACTGCGGTAATGCTGTGAAAATGGATTAGAAAAATATTAGAAAAATACAAACAACTCGATAAATAGAAAAATCCTTTAGTTAACTTCCTGCCTTCCTGCAAAAGGCTTCAGCCTACACCTGTTGTTTCGAATATATATCCATTTCGAATGGGCTAATCTCTACATTCCGCACCTATCTTGTATAGGTTTGTTGTAAAGAAGCCAGTGGATTTAAGCGCTGTTGAAGAGTCATCCTCGGACACCCAAATACTTACGAAACAGGTACGTACATCCATTTGCTAAACAACGATATTAATTCTCTGCACGCAGAAAGAAGAAAAGACAAGAAATGTTTAGGGATATTAAAATCAGTAAAAGAGGAAATTTATACTACACTGAATCGCCTTCAAACATGAGCAAGACCACTTGTGTTGAAGAGAATCGTGTTCTTTGCTGCAAATCTTTCATTAACCGAGGTCTCATCAACCCTGCAAAATGGCTATACTTAAGAGAATCCTGGTCTTTTTTTTTGTTGAATTTCCCCACAAAATCATCTAGGTCTTAGTCGAAGTAAAGTCAGTAGTTGAATCAATACGGTTTATTATTTCTTTAGAACGAGCAAGAAACAGCTGAGGGTGATTTATCCAAGGAAAAAGGTAAAGTTTGCATAAACGTTTCGTTTAGATCAATTTTACTCTTACTGTTTTCTCCTATCCTAACGTACGATTCCGGTGTAAGCTGAAAAGGAGATAAATATATACATATACTTACATCACCTTTATTTCACCTCTGATTTACAAGAGTAGCTGTTTAGCTAATTTCTCCGAGAAAGAGAAAAAGAAAATTAAGTACATAAATAAATAAATAAGTAAATAAAATGTATAAAAACAAATAGAATCGTGTATTATGTACAGAACATTACACAACTAGTTACATAAGTAACAACTGCATTTATGTTCAAAGGAAATTTAATGTTCGAGAGAAATTTGACATATCTTAGTTCTAAACTCATTCAACGACGTCAGTGACCTCAGGTCCTCTGTTAGTTTGTTCCACATGTTTGCAGAATTGTATCTGAAGGAGTGAAGACCATAAGTGGTTGTATTGACATATGGGATAACAAGTTTCCTTGATCCTCGTAGGTTGTATTCAGTACTCCTCATTTGAAAAAGACCTCGTATGTACTTCGGCATCGTTTCGAACTGAATTGTCTTAAAAACTATTTTCATTATGTCTTGGCACCTAATACTATACAGATCACTGGAGTTACTTATATAGATAATTGATTAACGAGTCCTAAGCGAGAGCAACCAATCGTCAAACAACAACATAAACTGTTTTTTTTTTTAACTAGTCAATCAGTGCAACGTTTATCTTTTGGAAACGTTGACTAAAGGATGATGTGCGCTCACGTATGCAAGCCAGTGCGGGCTGATGTGGGTTGTCCTCTATTTTGTCTGATTTAGATCTTTCCACAACACAAGATGACTTCCCAGACAACCGTATAGGCATTCAACTAAGGGAAAATATCAACAGAGCATTCGGGATCATTACAAGCGAAGGTGGCGAGGTCACAGCAAATGATGTCCAACTCGTATGCTCACCCGGAGCTGTTGACAATCCTGTGTCTGTGAAGATAACTCTGGAGGACCCAGTAACGTACTATGGCTTGGTAGTGCAAAGAGGGCTCGAAAATGACATCGTGTTTGGCGCACCGATAATCAATCTCTTGCCGAACGGCCATTTTTTTAAGAAACCCATAGCACTTACATCCAGGATTAAGATCGATCAAAGAGGTTCAGATTATCGTGATGTCCTAGTTTTACATGGAACCGAGGCCAAAGACGGAACGATTTCCTGGAGGGACATTACCCAAACCGCTACCATTAATGTCTCAAAAGGTGAGGTCATCACTAAACTCGATCGATTCTCCAAAGTTGCTTATCTACTGACATTGACTTGGATAAGTGCCAAAGAGATTGTATCACGACTCAATCTGATGCCATTCAAGTACTCGGTATCAGCTTTCTTCAAAAAGAGCCCTTCAGAGCTTGCCTTGGCATTCATGAGTGAGGACATCTTCCACGAGCCATACTTCAAAGAGCACCATGCTTCTGCCTTCGCGCAAATGACAAATGAGGGATTCGAACTGTTAAGCATGCGTTCCACTGGCGGGCATTCAGAGAGAAGTATCTATAACAGTGAATGTCTTCAAGTCTCTGTTGATCTCGAGGAGGACTACCAGGTGGTTGGCGAGCAGGCGAATCGTGTTATTGTAGATTGTTCTGTCTGGTGGAATACTGGCGAAATAATCAAATTTCCTCTGCACGCAATCAATGATGTCGGGATATTATGCGGAAGAATCAAAGTACAGGGCCAGTATGGGCATTCCAGAGAAAGCCATTTCTCCGAACAAGGTTAGTGTACATGATGAGATGGTTCTGATTACGTGCGGTGACGTAATCATATCAAGATGATAAGCCCTCTTTCGGTTCCTTGCTTCTTGTTTTAATCTTAACAAGCCTATGTTGATTTGAGTCACATCGTTGGTATTTTGAATTTCAAAGCGGAGTGAGGTGCCCTCTAGCGGATTAACGTTATGAAAGACATACTTAGCAATCCATCGGATGATGTTTAGTGGCTGGATAAAGTGACCATTCTTTCGAACCTAAGGTGTACTACATACCCCTTAAAAGATTTTGCAACATTTAACACACATTCCTTTCCCAGTAACCGGCTCATACGCTCTCTTGCACTTCCAAGTACCATTCTTTAACGACTCTTAAGGTCGGTTTTGCACCTTTGACCATACGTTGCAAAACTTGACCTTGGACTTGAGTCGAAAGAGATACATATCAATCAATGGAAAGCAAAATTAGGTGCAGTGTGAGTGAAAGCCACAGAGACTATGAAAAGTCGCAAGCAAGAGATTGAAGTTAATGAGTAGTTGTATTACCTTTACACCTGTTTACAGATCTACTTGGCTATGTCAGACGGTTTCTGGGAGTCGAGGGAGAAGTGTTCAACCTTATTCCCATTCTGGCCCAAAAGATTCAGATTCATGCCGATGATGTTTGTGAGGACGTCGTCAAGCACTGGCAAGATGACGATGTCCAATTAAAGATACTCTTGCAGCCCTGGATTGAGACTGGCTCAGCTAATACTATGGATCATTTGAAAAAAATTCTATCAGATTTAAAGGAAGAAGGTAAGTTGTGGAACTTAAATTATTCTTCCTATGTGGAAAGCTGCTTTCAAATACTAGGTAAAAGGATTTTAAGAGTCACTTGATCACCCGTGGAACGTCATCGTCGTGTACTTTGCGTCATATTCTTAAGATCGATTTACCAGCTTTGCATGTTTTTCAACACAATAGAGCTCACTTAGTCATCAGGAAGAGGTAGGGTAAAGCAAAATTAGTAAAATAAATGGAACAGAAATAAACTTTCAGTTTGTGATAATGCTCATCAGAAAGTTAGATCTGATAATGCCAGAAAGGTTCAAGGTTCATTGAGCACTGGCTCAATGATAGCTACAAAAAGGACCTCTTAATTCTAAAGAACATTTCGTAAATCACCATATCAAGCTGCATTCCATGATGCCTCTCATCCATGATCTCATTTAGTTATTCATTTATCTTTTTCCTTTTTGCATTTCCATTTGCATTTCTTCTAGACTATAAAGTGACAAAAAGAGGCCAAATGCATATTAGAAACTTAAGAGAGCTTGCAGTGAAGATCGCGGCATTAAAAGTCCACCATACTGATTTAAAGAAGTTTTTCATCCAAAAAATTCAAATTCTTTGCCAAGCAGTGATGAGAGATTGTTGCATTCAAGTAGAGAATTCAAGTGAAGATATCGATAGAGCCTCGTCATCCGGTAACTATGCAAAGCATCTTGAACTTCGAAAAAAGATTTCCAGAAGGACAGCTGCAAAGTACCAACGATTGATCTCATCCAAAGATGAATCAGTTGTCACAATGTTTTTAGAAATCGTTCCTAATCTCATTCAAGAGGTGAAAGCCATGTTTGGCGCGCAGAAAATTCCTCCTGCGCTCAATGGTCTGAGAGGAATAGATGAGAAAACACTGGGACCAATGGCGTCCAACGTTCGAGAATCTCAGGAAAACAACAAAATCAGAAAGCTTATTTGTCATATCTGCAAGATCGTGGAAAAGCTTTGCGACCTAAACTGTAACAGCAACAACCCGCCTGAGCGTGTTCGAAAGTTGGGCCAAAGTCTAGCGATTCTACCTATGCTAGACATTTTACAGTCATTTTTCTTAAAATGTCCAGAAGAAATCCGGCTGCACAAGAGGTTGGAATTGCTTTCGGTTTGCATAAGAGACATAATTTCCGATGAAATAGAAGTCAACGAGGCGACTATGCGCGACTTTTTCGACCTTTCTGCTAGTCTAATACACTTTGCAAAATTTGATCCAGCCAGAATGGTGAGGTTTGAGCTGAGTGACTCGAACAATTCCTCCGTGGAGTGCCAAAGGGGAGGGCTAACGTACGAAACGGACAGTGACACGTACTATGAGGAATTCGTCGTTGATAACGTAATTGAGCAAGATCTGCTGCTCAATGCAGTCGCAGCCATCAGTGTCGAAGGAAGAACTCACAAAATAGGTACCGGTGCTTTCAAGTTAACTATCGTACTTCCGGCATCTGAGGAGGAAACTTTCGACGAATGCTGCACCTCATTTGGTTCAACTGTCAGCGTGAAGAAGCTGAAAGATCAGAACTCCTCCAACTTTAGAGTGGTTCTTTGTTCAACAGGGAAGGAGATCCTATCACATGTGGTCGTTGCGCTCGAACGAAAACTAAAGGATGAGGTAGACTGGAAACGGTCAGAGGTTACCCCCTGTAAACTCACGATGCGCACCCGTGCCACAGAACCTTCAAAAACGAGTGTTAAACTTCGCCTGGTTTACAAATGGAAATCAGCGGGGCTTCGTCTTGAAAGTCAAGACTTTATCGCTGATGCTGACATAAATACCGACAGCACTTGGGGTAAGTATTCCTCGTAGCGATCAGCACCTTTTGAAGTACCACAAATACTAAGTGAATGTTACCGTCTTCAAATTGACGATATAATTTCAGTTGCTCTTTTCTTCTCGTATTTTTTTTTCCAGGAGTGGATGATTCGATGGATGGAGATGCAACTCATGTATTATCGCCACTTGCTGATGGTAGTTTCCTGAATGACTTCGCGAAACAGCAGTCGCAGACACAAGTTCCTTCGCAAGTCAGCATAGGTAATGCAGTAGTGCAGGCATAGTTTTAAATTTCTTGGGATTTCAAAGATGCTGAATAGTTCATTTTACAGTTGTGTGCTTGGTTGCCAAGCCTTTGAACAGGAGTGAGGCTAGAGATGACCTTGTTATGATACAAACCTTGCTACCTTTCAAATGTAAATCATTTTGTTATCATGCTAACTAGATACAGGTCTCTATCACAACAAGGTCATCTTTAGCCTCACTCTGAATCAAAGGCTTGGCAACTAAGTACACAACTGTAAAATAGCCTATTGTGACTTGACGAGTCCATAGGTAGATTTTTCCGTAAAAATTTAATATACATTTCATATTTTTGATGAAGCCAAAGGTCTCCTTTGGAGTTCTTTGGATTATCTGTAATATTCTATTGGAAATAGTGAGGAAGAGAATTCATGAAAAGATAAATCCCTTTAGGAAGGTCTCACGACCTCTCATCCGTCTTTTCTCTATTTCTGTTCCTAGTTTTTCTTTCAGAGCTTCATCAACACGTTCATCATGTACATAATATCCAAGACGTAAATGTTAAATCTGAGTACTGCGCAGTCGGGGACCATTCTTCCTTTTCCATTCAGGAACCATCAACCAGCACAAGGTTTGTGTCGTCTGTTATTTGCTTAGATTAACATTTAGTTTGCTCAGGTAGTGACACGAAAAAAGAGGATCTGACGTTTTTAGGGCCAGCAACACTTTTAAGGTTTCTCGGTTCCGCAGTTCTGAAGCACACTCAATCTTTGAACGCTTAGAATCGTGAAATCGTCTTTATCTAAGCGATATGTCTTTGTTTAGGACAAAGAAACTGGCCAAAAAGGACATGTACAATTGCTGCTCAACTCTTACCATGTCAAGAGAAAGCCAATAACACAGACTGAGTTCCTTTGTAAAAGAAAGTGTTTCTAATAGTTTCGTGAGACCGAAATCGAGGAACCGATCAGGTGTTAAAGATACAGTGTGTATCTACTGTACTCCAATTGAAAACAATTGGTAACGTGAGTGACCACTTGAAGTCAAAGGAAAATGGTGATTTACTCCGCAATTGGGTTCGGCAGATCTACTGAGTTTCTATCGTTGAACATTCGCCACTCGATAATTCCCGCTATAAACTTTTACACCCTAACATCAGAATGCATATTCTCCGTACTGTTCTCTGTTCAATTCCTAAGGACCTTTTCAGCCTAACATCAGTATGCATATTCTCCATACTGTTCTCTATACAATTCCTAAGGACCTTTTCACCCTAACATCAGTATGCATATTCTCCATAATGTTCTCTATACATTACCTATGGACCTTTTCACCCTAACATCAGTATGCATATCCTCCATACTGTTCTCTATACACTTCCTAAGGTGCTGACAAGGAGAATCTGTTCGAAAATCAAAACCTTCCCTTACAGAGAACAACTTCGCTGTAAGTTGAAATGGCACTCGATACAATGAAGTGGCACCTGTTGGATTGAGTGCAAAAAAGTTGCTGCTGCATTTGATAAATAGTAGCTGTGATTTTTGTTGATTTCAATCTCATTTCCATTCTTCTTGTATAGGCCGAGTCTGCACATTGCATCCTCATGACTTTCTCCTTCTTTTACTGTTATGTTCTTAACTTCTACAATATTATGATCATCAATCATACCATCTGGGGAAGCTCCAAGAAATGGGTGAGACTCCGATATCCCAAATCCAGATTTTTGGACCGTAAAGCCAGTTTCCTTCTCAAATTCACTGATGATCTTTGATTCGGCTTCAATTCCGTCCTTCATTGCTTGTGTTGTGATACGATCATTGTACATTAAGACCTCAGATATGGCTTTAGTTGGACTAGTTGTAGGTCTGATCAAAGATCTCTTGCATTTAGAAGCTGTCATTCTGGGCTTACGAACATCATACCAAGTTCTTGTCAAGTGTTGTTCCTTCGTAGCTTCTGTAATGTCATTTCTGTCTTTAATTGAGTCATATACTCTAGTTTTGGTTCTCTGTGACTTTTGCTCTATATCCATCAAGGAAAGAGGTGCAGTTTTGACAGGAGAGACTATGTCCCACTTTGATGGCTTTGGTGTTTCTTCGGTGACTGTAAACTCCACGTTTAATTCCCTTTTTTTTTTTCAGAGTTCCACAGCGTCGTAAATCAGCCTCTCTACCTAGGTCGCCCCACGTCGCTTCGAAATTCTCTGAATCCTTTGCAAAACCCCTTGCGAACTTTACAAACTAACTTAGATACTAACTTTTAGATACTAGAGTTCCAAAGTACTTATTCATGAAAGAGAAACGAAAAAGGTCACGTGCGCGTGAACTTGTCGCCTTCCTGGAATTCACGTGCTACGTTCTTAAAATATTTTAGTGGGCACATACAAATAAGACACGACAGTGACTGTAGTTGAATATTAAGGAACATTTTGTGGAATGATCGAATGAAGGCCAATTTTTTTCCCAGTTTTCTCTTCCATTGCTTTAATCTTTTCTAGTAATGCATTATAGTCAGTATTTGGCTTGCTTTTATTGTGTATGGTGTTGACTGTTGCACTTGATGAACATTCTTTTTCTTTCTTTCCATACACATGCTTTACAAATTTAACTGCCTGAACAGTAGTAGGCTCTTGTTTTCGTTTCTTTGGAATGCTCCATTTACAAGGTTTTGACGTACAAGGCAATTCATCTTCACTTTCTGTGGTTGTGCTAGCAGCTTTCTTACATGCATCTTCCATAGCAAATAAAGTAGCAGCTAGGTGATTCCACTGTCCATCATTTCCTGAGGCGCATGGGCAGACAGCTTGTTTAACTTGCGAACTTGCCTTTATGATCATTTTGACAGTGTAGATGTTTTTATTCTTATCAGCTTGCTTGTCATAAGATGACTTGACTTGGCTCTTGACGTAAAACAGTTCACCGTCCTGTTCAGTATAAATTCCTTCCAATTTTCCTGATTTATAAAAATTGTATCCCTTGACGATTGGTTTTTCAACTGATAATTGTTTTTTAAACTCCACATCGTCGATTAAAAATTTCCAAATTTGGGGATAGCCAGCATTCAGCTTCGAGTTGATTCCTACAACAACTCCCTGGGTAGGAAAGAACTGCGGTCGTTTCGCCAACGAGTTGTATCGCCAACGTCTCGTTCACCAACGTGTTAGATTTATTCGCCAACGTCCTACTGGTCAATTCGCCAACGTCAGATATCCAAGACTAACGAAAAAAAAAGTTGCTTATTGATGTTTAGAATGCATTCCTGATCCTTGAGTCACAGTCAGTTTCGCTTGACTCACTTCAGATCAATTTGCACGTTTTGCAATGGTAAAGTCGTCTTTAAAAAGAGAGTGTTAATAACTATTGCCCCCAAGGCTTTGTCTCATTAAACGTCAACCAACATAAAATAAACAGACGGCAGGTAAAAAAAACTGATCCTGGAAATTACCTCTTTATGAAAAGAAAGGAAAGAAAACTGTGTGCGTGTCTTTTTTCAACCACTGACGCAAGGATTGTAAAAGAAACGACGATGTTGTTGTCAGCCTCAGGAACAAAATAAGTGTGATTTCACACCTTCTTACTTTTGAGCGATGTCGCTTTTCGGACAGGACTAAGTGGCTGCAAAAGAGTAAGGTGGAAGAACAGAGTAACCGACAATTGCAAGTTGGTCATTTCTTTCTCATATTGTGGCAGCTCCTAAAGGAGCGGGGTTTTTTTACGGGACCTGCCCAGCGGTAAGTCACCGAACTGTAGTCTACTTGTTGACTGACTCTGGGTTTTGCCCAAGTTAGCTTTGTGCGCTTCTTGGGCTTCTTCTGGGCTTCTTTATTCCGCTCTCGGCAGAATGAGACCTTAACTTTTATAATCGCATGGCAGGTTATAAATGGCGTTAACGAAAACGAGGAAAGGGGAAAACATTTTGTTTGTCACTCGCGTTCGCCGCCGTGTTTAAATAGCTGTTTAGATCCCGTCCAAAAGCATCTCTTCAATGAAGCGCCAACGTGTTATGAAACGGACAACAATAACCAACATAAGTCACACCTTCCATTAGAATGCCGCTAGTAAACAGTAGAATTCGTTTTAAATCTATGACAGTTTTCGCTTCGCGCTCAACTAGGAGAAGCAAGGAGTGCCATAATACGCGCGTCTGCAAAAACTAGAAAACATGTTTTTAAAAGTATATTTCAACAAGGATTGTTGACTGTTATCTATTCAAAAAAGAAAAGTCTCACCTTCTTTATAAAATGCCACATAACACAACATTGCAAAAGAATTGCCTTCGTAAACACTGAGTTTGCTCTTGAACGCACGTGCAGGAAAATAAATGACAACACACACAAGTGAAGGCAAACTTTTATTTAGACGTTGGCGAATTGACCAGTAGGACGTTGGCGAATCGACATAGGACGTTGGCGAATCAACCTAACACGTTGGCGAAACAACTCGTTGGCGAAACGACTGGATACCGACTTGAATGGAAAGTCAAGAGTTGTCTTGTTTCTCTTGTAATCCAAGTTTTTTGCACTTGTTTTGAATATTTATGCCACCATCAGGATCGATGAGGTTTTTGGAATCCAAACCAGAGCGTATGTAATCATTTACCCTGAAAATGAGAGTTTTGTACGAAAAATTCACTACATTTTCGGCATAGTAGTTCGATAAAATACTAACCTTTTGAACAATTCGTTCCTTTTACCCGAAACTTTCGCTCCTTTGCAGGTCAACCAACGTTTTAATATTGCCACTGTGCAATTCTCAGGGGGCTTTGGGAGCTCTGCTCCAGGGATATCTTGTTCAGTAAGCGTTAGTAATTGTGTCACCATTGCTGTCCTTCTTCGCCGCCATCTTGAAACACGTCCCCTAAAGTCGCCGCAGAGTGCCTTGCACCTACTGACTCGACCCATTCCCCCCGCTCAACGTAAAAAAAGGCGAATTCTCGTGACCATAATGTGCAATTCGGAGGG